TGTATTTATTTAGTGGTTCATATAATTCTGCTTTTATTTCTAATTATGTCAGTTTTGGTCCTCCATACTGCAGAAGCCTGATAATCATCTATTCAATCATATCAGGTGTGTTGGARCAGAGAAACAAGTAAAACATGCAGGGCTGCGGCCCTCCAGGACCAGGATTGCCCATGTCTGCTATAGTGTCATTAATTATTCACTCTCTCACGTAGATCTGGCTTTGGGCAATGATGGAGTCAATTTTTGCCTGCAATGAGAGTAATTTCCACTCCTTTGCCAACAGAAAATAGATGCCGAAAGGGAGATGATTTGCTTGTGCAGCACTGAGCCAACAGAGGTGAAAGACCTGCCAAAGAGAATCCCCAAAGATTCTCCACGTTACCACTTCTTCCTTTACAAGCACTCGCACGAAGGCGACTACCTGGAGTCCACAGGTGCTTCAGTTTTTCCCGTCACAAAGCACTCCTCTTGGTGTTCTGAGTGGGGTCATGTTTACCTCTTTGTATCTTTTCTTTTTTTTTTTTTTGTAGTCTTCATTTATTCCATGCCAGGGTACACGTGTAGCATCAAGGAGAGGATGTTGTATTCCAGCTGCAAAAATAACCTGATTGACATGGTGGAAAGCAAGCTCCAGATTGAGATTGAGAAGAAGGTGAGTACAAAAGATTATGAGCAAGTGTGGTTGACAGCTCCTCACCTGTCAATCTGGCTCTCAGTTGTTGAAAAACCTGTCTGAGTAGCTGCATTTATGATTTTTTTTTTTTTTTAGAAAAAATAGATAGAAGTATTCATTTTCTACAAAAAAATAATAATAATCTTGGTAATTCATTATCCAAAATGAAAACAGGTTAGATTATGTTTTATGCATTTACTGTAAAAAGTTAAATGCTAAATATATTTTTAATTATTTCACACACTATATTAGCATATAAAAATGTACACTAACTTACAGCATCAGTACTGCATGTTTAAGTCTTGACGTTTTGCAAAAGCCTCTTAATGTTTCATTCAAATCAGCTGTCAAACCACTAAACCATGCAGCATAGTGGCCCTTGAGGACAGGATTGGTTGCCACTGTTTATGCTTCTCTGCTTCAACACACCTGATTTGAATCGATGATTGATGAGCAGTCTTCTGCAGGACATGGAAGACATGTTGAGGAGGTAATTCAACCATTAAACTGGGTGTGTTGGAGCAGAGAAACATGTAAAACAGTGATAAATTATAACTTTCAGTAAAAATATCATGTTGTTAAATAGCTTCAGTGGAGACATTGAAACTGTAGTTGTATTTCAATGTTTTTGTTTTTTATTAAGTGGTGTTATGTGGGGTCGTCAATAAGCAAAAGCTTGCCTGCAGTAAAAATCACTCAGAGCACTGTGAATTCATTAGTTTTTCTTTTCTGTTGACGTTTTGAAGAGCCACTTAATTAAAAAATAGGCTCAAATTTAATCATGGGAGTTTTTCTAGTGATCCCTTCAACAGGTACGTAAAGAACATTTTATCTGCTTTTGTTCCAAATTCGATTATGATTCGAAACGTTTTTTTTTTCTCTCCTTCACTACAAAAAAGCAACACTTAGTGTATTGATGCTAATCTTTGTCACTTGACACATTTCACAGGACGTCATTGGTTGAGGAGCTTTGTTTACAAAACTAATGTCCACATGGTTTTTAAATGTTATCAATGTTCTGGCTTTCCAAGACACATCAAGTTGGTTTGATGTTGCAGTTTGGCGACATTGAGCCCTGTAACATTATTTTATACATTTCTGCTACTTTTACATTGCATTTTGTGTTTTTTATTGGTTTTAGGAGGCAAAATGAATCCTACAAAAAAATAGAATGTGGATCCTTTCCTACAGTTTCATGGAAATATCTTTAACATTAAGGAATATTTTACAGTAGTTCAAGCTAATAGTTTATATTTGCATATTTTTTAGTTGCTTAATATATACTTGATATTGAGGGTATTTTATTGTGGGTAAGCTACCGACAGCAGATAACTTCAGATCCCCACTTTAAAAAATCTAGACTATTCCTTTAATTTAAAAACTAGAAAATAATGTAAAATGATTTTTTTTTTCTGTTTTGCAGCTGGAAATTGAAAATGGGGATGAACTAACAAGTGATTTCCTGTATGAGGAGGTGCATCCCAAGCAGCATGCACATAAGCAGAAGTTTAGCAAACCCAAAGGCCCTGCCGGTAAAAGGGGTGGCCGCCGAATCACCCAACTTCCCCGTGAGGGAGAAGAGGAAGATTGAAACCGACCTCAGCTCTAGAACACCATCTCCAAACTCCGAGCACGTTCCACAGTGGAACATTCCTGCAATGGGGCCACACATTTAACATTTAATACCCCCAAACCCCATGAGAAAATAAATAAATAAATAAAAAAAGGAAAATAAACAAAACATGAACCTCAGATTGCCACAGAATTCCCCAATAGACCAAACTATGCACGCCAAGGACAACTGAGCAACATCACTTCAATTTCCATTTGTAGCTTGTCAAATGGAACTGCATTTATCTCACAAAACGCTTGATGATAATTCAAGTGGGGGGGGTCTAAAGTTAAAGTTTCTACTTTGTTGCCAGCTCTGACACTTTAAAACAAATGCTCGTGACTAATGTGAACTCACGCCAATACGATGAAATCCCTAATTTGAGTTCACATGCTTCAATTCCTGAAAAGCATTCCTGAAGTTAACTTTCTTTTGTGTTTGTCTCCTACTCGCTGCACAATGAGGTGCTCCAAAGCAGAAAAAAAAAGTCTAAATATTCCCACTTGTCTGTTTTGTTCATTTTAACTGCTCATTTTTTTAAATGGAAAATAATTCTCTTTTGATATAACTGTGGTTTACATAAAAAAAATCATCTGCTGAGAAACTTATTTTTCTATGCAAGTGCTGTAAATGTACATATTGTAGCTGTGTGATGCTCTGTGACTAAGAAACGGTCTGTTCTGGTGATTGCCAGTAAGAATTGCAGAGGAAGGAATGGGCTTCCAGAAATTTTCCATCGATACATTTCAGATTTCATCAAGATGAAGCTCCTCAGAACTGGTTTCCACAAAGAACAGAAAGGAAAGGGAATACTACTAAGTACCTTCATCCAAATGTTGCCACACTCACTGGTCTGATCAACATTAGGCAAACTACCACATTCACCTCGTGTAAAGGGAAATTCCCTTTATGTTCATTCATTGTCATTGGGGGAAAAAAAATTAAAAAAATCATCTTTGGGTCTTATTTGTTTTCTTACAAATCTTTCTTTCAAAGAAGAAAAATAAAATATTTAAATCAGATGTGGTTTTATTTTATTCTTCCAATAAAAGCAAAGCAACACAAAAAACTGCTAAACATTTTTACACTTCAATATATAATTTTAAAAGTAAAGCCATTTGTCTCAAATACTGCATGATTAAAAGAAAGCTTTAAAAGTTGCAGAAATTACAGCAAGTACATTGATTTTGATAAAAACTTTCAGATGCATCACATCAAACAGGATGAAGTCAAATTTGGTCTAAATAACAGAAGCACAGTTTCAGGTTTCTGCCTTTTCAAGCTACATTTTGATACCATTATTTTGCCTGAGTCCCATTTTTAGGTTATTCTAATGAGTGTTTGGTGTCATTTTAAAGACATCTCAAACAATATTTGGATATTAGGGTTTCCCAGCTGGACAGAAAAGTTTTGCTAGCTTGCAGGAAAAATAAAAAATAAAATCAAGCCTTTCTTGCCTAATTTATTTTTGTAGCTACAGCACAAAAATGTGCTTCTAAAACTTCTTTAATATCACATTTCAGACAGTTCATTCAAATGATCTATTAAGGGTTTTTTTTTTCATCATGATTTGACAAAATGCATTTGTTGCAAGTGTTTTAACCAATTCACTATAGCTGCCTATTTCTCCACAAACCACTTGAGGATTTAATCCTTGGTTCGACATGATTTGTCAGTCCGAGTGATGAGATTGATTCGAGCTTCACTTCTGTCCTTCAGAGTTCAGTGAAATGTTCTTGATGACACTGTGGAGCTCTGAAATGACCTGCAGAGACAGGCTGATGTTAATGATGAAAAACATGCAAATATTTGGTTTCATACATTACAAAAAGTTAATAATTTGGGGGGGGGGGGGGGGGGGGGTTGAAAAATGTTATCAGAATTGGCCTTGTGTTTTAGATGCATACTAGGGGTGCAGACATTATCAAGGGGTCTTCTATTTATTTAGATCCCCATGAGGCTCTTCCATAGGGACTACTCTTACTGGGGTCCACTTCAGCAAAACATCAACAACACTTTAAATCAATACAACTCAAAATCTCAACACATAATACTTTTAAAGTCTGTCAATGGGACATGTCCAGAAAACCTCCAGAGAGAGGTAATCTGTTCAGATGCCTGATCCACTTCAGCTGACCCGTTTCAACTTCATGGCAGTGAGCCCAGCAGCTTTTGGTTCTTTTGGCAGTGTGGGCAGCAGCCAAGTCCTGCTGGAATATGAAGTCAGCATCTCCATAAAGCTTGTCAGCAGAAACAAGCACAAAGCGCACTAAAATGTCTGAATTTCTGCCATTTAACAGCACTGTGTAGCTGCTAATTGTTTAGCTCTCGTGTTTGTGTTTGGTTCTTACCGCATTAAGATGCCACCCCAACGTGATGTAGGTCTTCTCTGTACGGAGCCCGCGAGGGGACATGGGAGGTTTTTTTTTTTCTTTTGTGTTCCCTCGCAAAAGTCGTTTGTCACTGTTGTGCCTGCCGGTTTATTAAATTCACATGTTCACTATTAGCGAGTTAGTCTACTACTTTAATTCAGCTTCAGAATGAATATATCACACAGCCACATATGGAAGTACGTCATATGCCGATATTTTAACCCAGTGCATCCACGCAACATCAATGCCAATTTCATGAACTGTGGCGGCACATCCTGTTTTAGTAACGATATTTCAAAATAAAAGTCTGATTTAATTCAGTTCATATACAAAACAAACTTTTGTGTGGGAACGCAAAACAGTTTTGCGAAGTAAAGGCTCCCACATACTCGGGCATACTCTGCGCATTCCATGAGCCACACGGACTCAGCGCGTACTGTCCGCGGACAGTTGGGAGTTCATACTCGAGCATACTAACCACCTGACGAATTCTCTAATTCCTCGCAATTTCAGTCATGATGTCAAGGATCAGGAGGAAGAGATGTTTTAAAGCTAAAATGCAAACTAAGAAAAAAAAAGAAAAGAACTACCTTACCCAGGATCTGAGCTATTTCCTCCCACAAATTTGTTGCTCGCTGGAAGTCTTTATATTCCTTCATTGACGCGTCATAACGTTTTTAATCTCCTCCATGAGACGCTTTTCAAGATTTGACTCCATTTCATCCACAAATGACACAGATTCTCAACTTTATCTTCTTGGTGTCACACCCAGAACAGTACATGTCACTGTGCGCACCGTGGGCGCAGATGTAAAAAACTGATCTCTGTGTGGACCAGTCCGCACATGACTGCTTCAGGTCCGCATTGAGTCCACCTTGAGTCCGCGTGGACCTCCGCGCACTGAAGTGCGCCTGCGTATGTGGGGCCTTAATGCTAAGATATTGCGAGGTAACGCAATAGTATTACATGGGAATGCAAAAGAAAAAAAAAAATCCCCCCATGTCCCCTCGCGGGCTCCGTATTTCTGGACCACATCCAATATTTGCGTTTTTTGCTATTCGAAGAAAATCTGAGAATATAACTGACAAAAATCAGGGCTTCACTGTAACAGCTGCTCTTTTACATGATGCAGTGTTATATCATAATGGCAGGAGCAGTTTCGTTGATTAGCCTGGGGTTAGCCTGTGGATCCAACAGTAAACTGTCTCATCAGTGCAGAGGAGTCCCATACAGCTGCTTCACACTCAGCTGTAAACATCTGCAGTGTGTGCTGATATTCAGAGACCTCAAAATTATTAAACCTGACACACTCCTCTCCATGACTGAATTCTATTTCTCCTGGAAAACAAAATGACAAAAAAGGAATCGACACTCCTAATACATATAATGGTTTTGTTTTGGATCTTAATACAGCTTTTTGATATGTGGAGATTTAGCAGCGTTTTGGAAGTTTTACCATCAAACTAAAGGCCTTCGATAGCTTCTCCTCACTGTACCTGTTTGATGACTGGGCGTCTGTTTTTTCGATCATGCAAGCAGTTAGACGCCAGACAATACATCGTCTCCACTTGACTCAGCTCCCAGTCTCTCATCTTCTTATCCACAAACTCTTCCAGAGTCAGATCCTCGTCTTCATCATCTATATCATACCGCATATCCATCTAAGAAAAAAAAAATCAAAGTTTGTGCTAACAGTGTTCCCTAATGATGAGTCCTTACTTATTAAATATAACCTAAATGAGCTGTAATCATGAGCTGCAGCTAGACAGACAGATACTGAGAGCCTCTTTTGTGCATCTCACCAAGAACTGTGGCTCCTTGTTTTCATCAGCTGGAGGGAGTCCAGACAATATTTCTAACAACACCTGCAGATGGCAGAGAGACAGAGTTAATTACACTGCTCAGAGCAACAGGAACCCTTTATTACTTCACTTGGTGCTATATAACCTCACTGAAAAAGTCACATTCCCACAGCTGTCCAGATAAAACCCACTGTGTGTACTGTGCACTTCTTTAAAAGGGAAGCCTGACTAGTTGTAACATCAGATATTATTATGACCTGCACACGCGAAGCGTAAGTCGTTGTTTTCGTACTGTTTTTTTCTTCTTCTCAGTGATTTTTGGTCAACCGTAGCACAAAAAAGGCTTCACTGATCAACATGAAATTTGGCAGGACTGTAGATGAGTCTGACCTACACTGCGCCAGCCAACCATTTTATGATAGACGCCATATTTGAGGATGGGGCTCCTTTCAAAGAGGGGGTGTCTGGACATGCAAAAATGCTTATAACTCAGAAACTGTTCAACATAGGAGCTTCAGATTTTTGTGTTGTTTAGCTCTGATGAAGCTCTATCCATCATTTTTTTGAAATCATCCTTTATGCTTGCCATTTCGATCCAAATGCAGCCTCATTTCATTATTTTACAGTTTTGATAAATAACCTGCCAGTTAGTGGTGTAAACCGAACATTTTCTGTTTTGCTAGCCACGTCTGTGGAAAGCTCACCACCCCGAAGCTGAAGATGTCAGATTTTGAGGTGATCTCTCCTCTCAGTGCCTCTGGTGCCATGTACGCACGGGTTCCCACAATCCTCTCAGTCATCATCGTGGTCAGTGTGCGACTGGCCGATGCCCTCGTCAGCCCAAAGTCAGAGATCTTTGCCACAAAAGTTTCATCTAACAGGATGTTTGCACTAAAATGTAAATAAACAAGGGACAATGACCTAAAGCATGAAGCATATTTAATTTAAAATGTTTTTTTCTGCTTATGGTAAAAGAACATTTTAAGCCTTTTGAAGAAAATGAGACGATCAAACCCTGACGATCAAACCCTCTACTATGTAATGCACCACTCATCTCTTTCTACATTCAGTAAGACAGGTAAATATTTGTGGGGTGTTCATGCAGCAGAAAGACTTCGTACCTTTTCACGTCTCTGTGTACGTGATGATTGCAGTGCAGATACTCCAAACCTCTGGCTGTTCCTTCTGCTATCGAGCATCTCTGTCGCCAGGAAAGAGGAGGACTTCCATCCTGCATGAACCAAGTTCATATTAAGTCCTGCGTATAGAAGCTCTGGTCTTAAAGGGGTCCCCGATTAGTTGTAACATTAGACTTTATTTGATATTTATTTTAACTGTAAAAAAAAGACTGTAAAAATACAGTAGGCCGTTTAGTTTTGCAAATTTTTAAAAATATATTTTAACACGGACAGAGCCATTTAATTTACATACAAAGCATTCTGGGTAAATGATGACGTGGATAGGTCCTCGGTGTGAGCAAGCTATATCCACCCTGAAGGTT